TGTAAAAAACAAGTATTAAGCAATGAATGCAGTCAAGTGACAAACAAGAAGAGAAAAAAACTAAACTTTCATACTTATTTATCAGTAGGTAAAAGTAAATAAATCTGGACTATAAAGGGAGATAACTCTAACTCCAAAATTAGTTATCTATATACCAATAAATAAAATTAAATGATGTATAGTGCCTACCTACCATATAAGATGGTATAGATAGTTTTTTATTGACACAATTTGAACAAGACTTATTTCCCTTTTGTCTCCATGTTAGAGGTCTACATGCACAAATTCCTACATAAGTCTGCTGAGTTCAACTCGTTATACTGACTGATAGCCCTTATAAAAAGGCAGTTTTGTGAATAATTATAATTTCTGTAAGCCTTTGCTCAATTTATTACTACGGTCTAGTAAAAATCTCTATCAGAATCAATTTCACCACATATATCTAGTGAAAATCTCTTTATCATAACCAGTTTAACCACATGTATCTAGTAAAAATCTCTTTATCAGAATCAATTTCACCACATGTATCTAGTAAAAATCTCTTTATCAGAATCAATTTCACCACATGTATTTTTTGCGAAGGGTATAATGTTTTTGAACCGTCCGTCTGTCTGTCCGTCCATCAGTCCGTCAGTCCTGTTTCTTGTCATCGCAACTCCTCTGAAACCACACAACAGAATTTCATGAAACTTTGTAGATAATAAGGACATACTATGTAGATGTGCATATCGACAGGAAATTATGATTCAATTTTTTTTCTAGGAGTTATATATGCCCCTTTGAACTTAGATTTTTGGCCTAAATATACTACTGCAACAGTTTGTAATCGCATTTCCTCTGAAACCACACAACAGAATTTCATGAAACTTTGTAGCTAATGAGGACATTATATGTTTATGCGCATATCCACAAGAAATTTTTTTATCAGTTGACTTTTGTAAAGTTATGAGTCTTTGAACTTAGGAATCTGGTGAGATTTTGTTTGTCCAGTGACAATGTGGGGGCGTGGGGTATGTGAGCATGCTCACAAAGGTTCTTTAATTTTTATTCTGTAATTCATCAAAGGAATATTAGACAAGGGATGGAAAATGGATACCAATGAGTTCAATCAAAAACCATAAGTCCTATAAAAAAAGAACAGCATAAATGGCCAAACAGAAAAAATTATCGTGGAAAAATCAGGCAACAGCTAGTCGTTAAAAAATCTTCACAGAAAACTAAATATTGAACAACATAAACCTTGGCAAAAACTCTGGTAAACTCTCATGAATTGTGTTCCTTTTCCACTAGTGACTCCTGCTGCATTGCTACTGTGAAAATATTTTGATAAGACTATCATAAGTCATATCTTAATATTTGCACCATACGGATTGGTAAACATCTTTTAAGTTAACAACTTGTTTCAGCATCCTGTTAATTCTTATTCTATTGTATTAATATGTTGATGCCAAGTTGTGTATATTATTTAACTTTAATTTAATTAATAAAATATGTTTACACTAAACATCTTTTTATACGCCCGTCCGTCTGTCTGTCTGTCTGTCCGTCTGTCGTCAACATGTCGAACATTAATTCAAATACGCTTTAACCAATATGCATGAAACTTTGGTGAATTGTTTAAACGGATAGTAGCTACGATTTTCATTAAAATTATTTTTCTAATCTATTTGCTGGATTTTGTACAAAAGGTTTATTTAGAATGAATAAAACCATCACTATTTACTTTCCAATTAGCATTTAGAAGCTTTTTAACGTTTTACACCTGAATTTAATTTTTGTCTATAGACAAAAATTCGATGTTAAGCCAACCCTTTTTCATATGACCTATGTTGACCTTAAATCCGCAGTTCCCAATGCGCAATCGCAAGTTGTCCCTCGAAGGGAAAATGTCGAACAGAGGAATGTTATCGCGGAAATGGAACGTGTAAAGAAACAGTAAAGAGGTGCAGACAAGTTATTGTAAATTGAAAATAAATAACGGCGATGAGATCGGTCATTAGATTCATTTACAAACACCCGACACGCAGATAAAGTCATTATATAAACAGTCGACATTACGACGGTTTGCGAAATGTAAAAAATATTTCTGAACTTTTCGAATCCAGATCACATGAAAATTAATCATGACGTGTTCAAATCATTATTGCCAAAATATCTTTATAAATTTAAGAGCAGTGATCTCACAACTTAGAAGACATTTAAAGTCAACTTCTTACAATTTAATATTATTCTTCCTGTGTACCCTGCATGAAGGCCCCAATTCAATTCACAAACACGTGTATGCGTTATCAGCATTGTTTTGTCATACAAATATAAAACAAGTGTATAATATCGCCATTGTTGGAGAACCTTGGGTTTGAATAATATGCAGGCATTTGGTATATTTTGTTGTTTACATAATTTGATAAATGGTTTCAAATATGTACGTTTAATCTAAAGAAATTGTCAAATACGTAAGAAAACAAAAGCACATGTTCATATTTATTTATATCGTGGTCATCTGACTCGCTGTGTCGGCAAAGTTCCGGAAGTAAACCCGATGCATAATTAATGAGATGAAAAGGCTCGCTACACGATATTAATTATCAATTATTAACACTTCTGTACTTTATATAAACATTCCACTGATCTTACTGTTAATTTAAAGTACATATCTTTGATTTTAGCAGCTTTAAAACTTGGTCATAATTTTGTCAAAATCGTAGCTACTATCCCTTTAAATCTATTGACGTGAGCTCCCTTTCGTTTTTTATAAATTTCGGATTTACCGTTTCCGAGTTTTGGGGTTTTATTCATTAAAAAAGGGGGGATTTTGCAGTTTTCGGACAATAACTCAAAAACAATTTCACCAATTTGCATGAAACTTTTGTGAATTGTTTATATCTATTGATGTGAACCCCCTTTTGTTTTTTATAAATTTCGGATTTACCGTTTCCGAGTTTTGGGGTTTTATTCATTTAAAAAGAGGGGATTTTCCAGTTTTCGGACAATAACTCAAAAAAAATTTCACCAATTTGCAAGAAACTTTGTTGAATTGTTTATTTCTATCAACATGAGCTCCCTTTTGATTTTTATAAATTTTATACTATAAGTTTCTGATTTATGGGGTTTTATTCATTACAAAAAGGGGGATTTTCCAGTTTTCGGACAATAACTCAAAAATGATTTCAGCATTTTTTAAGAAACTTTGGTAAATTGGTTATATCTATTTTTGTAAGCTCCCTTTTGATTTTTATAAATTTTAGATTTTACGTTTCCGAGTTATAAGATTTTATTTGTTTATAGACTGACAACAGATTTACTAAGTATTGCGCAATAGCACAGTGTATTGCACAACAGCAAGAAATCTTTAATTGAATATCAATTCAATTCATATAACCAATTTCAAGTTCTTTGACTACATTTATGCAGAAACCTATAATATGTCAAATATTTAATTACAATCCAAATTCAGACCTGTATCAAGCTTGAATTTTGTGTCCATTTTTGCCCCAACTGTTCAGGGTTGGACCTCTGTGGGCGTATTCAGCTGCGCTCAGCGAAGCAGTTTATTTCTATACTTAAGACATCATCCAACTCATAAAATATCGATCAAGTTCATCCTGTATACAGAAAACATGTCAATGGTGGCAGCGACTGTTCCCTTGAGAACCTATGAAGTGGACTGCATATTTGTTTGCCAAAAAAATAAGCAAAAAAACAAGAATAGAAAATAGTAGGGTGCTATAATATAAAGAAGAGAGAAGAATAGAGTGCTATTATATAAAGAAGAGAGAATAATGAAGGACATTACCCCCCTTTTTCATCCAGAAGCTCCACTTTTGATGTGTGGAAATAGAAAATCCACACATTTCTTTCTGGTGATAAGATGATCATTCTCTATGGAACAAATACTATTTTTTATCTAAATCGTATGAATGTGAAAGATGCTAACATCTAATTGTGTTGTCACAAATTGTATGTCTGGTAGCTAGGAAATATATGGATGAGTTAGGATTTTGCTGTGAAAAATATGTATGAGTAGAGGGATTTTTGTTCACTACATAATTGGGTGTGGTTATTAAACCCTAGCCTGACGTCTGTACCCAAATTTGTATGTTGAGGTTTGTTATCTGCTCTAGAACTTTTATACTTCTTCACATTTCCAACCATGAACAGTGGCAAATTAAGGGTTTGGGGAAAAGTCTTTTAATGGTGATAATAATTTTTTTTACCATTTTATGCAAAAAATTATATTTTTTTGTCATTTTGCTATCGAGAAAGAAGAAGTGGAAGATACCAAAGGGATATAGATATACTGACAATGTCATGGCAAAAAACATAAAGACAACAGTCTACCAAACAAAACATATATAGAAAATTAAGGGCTTGTCACATGAACCATACCAACAATAGGGTTGATCTCAGGTGCTGCGGAAGGGTTAGCACATTTGGCACCTTCATGTTACTCCTATAAAATATGTTAATAGGATATGTCACATGATTAGGCATCACAGCTTTTTTTTACAGATAATAATCTAAATTATTTTTTATGCCCCACCTACAATAGTAGAGGGTCATTATGTTTTTCGGTCTGTGCGTCTGTTCGTTCGTCTGTCTGTCCTGCTTCAGGTTAAAGTTTTTGGTCAAGGTAGTTTTTGATGAAGTTGAAGTCCAATCAACTTGAAACTTAGTACACATGTTCCCTATGATATGATCTTTCTAATTTAAATGATAAATTAGAGTTTGACCCCAATTTCACGGTCTACTGAACATTGAAAATGATAGTGTGAGTGGGGCATCCTTGTACTATGGACACATTTTTGTTTTTAATAAAAATTGAAAAAAAAAATGTCTTTGAAAAATTAAAGAAGAAAAATGTTTTGCATCGACAAATTAAAAAAAGAAATGTTTTTTTATAGGGTAGAAACAATTAATTTGGTGTATAAATCCCTGCTCTCCATGAGAGAATAAAATTGTTGCTCTCTTGTGAAACAACTTTGTTATATTTTTTTTTAAAGGAAAGATTAAGAAAAGCTTGGTAAAGCCAGTAGAAGATTCAAATGTGAATAAAGGATTAGTACAAGCTAAAACAAAGGCAACCACTTTGATATGTTCAGTCAAGCATGGAGAAGATTCAAATGTCACAGATGTAAATGAAGGAGCAGTAAAAGATAAAACAAGGGCAACCACTTTGAAATGTTCAGTCAAGCATGGAGAAGATTCAGAAGTCACAGATGTGAATGAAGGAGCATTAAAAGATGAAATGAAGGCAAAAACTTTGTCAATTGCCAATGAATTTAAAGATAAGGAAAGTGAATTGCAAAAAGATACAGAAGACAAAACAAAGACAGCATATGAAAACAAAACTGCTCAAAATGTCACCATAGCAAGTAACCTCAATCAGGAAGTTGTATCTCCAATATCAGTTTCTTCGGTGTCTTTACCAGTTAGTGAGAGCACAAATTCTTTGAAATTGTTAGCAAAGACCACAAACTCTCCTGTTAAAACTCATGAAAGTCTAATATCAAGTTTTGATACTACAACAACACCTTCATCTGAAAATAGAGCAAATAAACGAAAGATTACGATTGAAAGTTTGTCAGAATTGGATGATGAAGATGAAAATAATGTATCACCAGCATCCGAATCAAACAGAGCAAAAAAACAAAACTTATTAATTGAAAATTCTTCAGAAAATAAAAAATTGAGAGTGCAAGTGAATTCTTCAAAAAATAAAGATGCAAATACTGAAAAATCGACAGAAAATATGAAGAACACTGCACACAGGGCTTTAAGTACGAACGATAATACTCAGCATGCTTCAACTCGGCCAAGACGAACACCAAAGCCAAAGAAACTTTTCAATATGGAGTGCTATGTCAAGTTAGAAAATATCAACAAAATGAATGTGGCAGACTTAATTTATGGAGCCACTACTAACGAGCCAAAACAAAATCTGTTAGAAAATCGTCACATAAAAAAAGAGTCAGAAGAAAAATCAAACCTCAGTTTGCTGTCACAGATGAGTAAAAGTGTTACAAGGGAAACCAAAGAGGCCATGGGCAATTCCCAAGGAAGAGAAGATATAAATGAAGAAGAGGATCTGGATGCAGATATCAGATCAGTAGAAATTGATCCAACTTTTCTTGTCCAATCAGAACAGTCCTCAAATGAAACTTCTGAAAATGATGTTATAGAGGAATCAGTATTTGAAGAAAATCCTAAGAAAAAACTCAAATCAACTAGAAACTCTAAAGATAAGGGCAAGGTAATTGACAAGAAAATGTTACTAGAAAATCATAAGAACAATATAAGTAGTCGTATTAAACGAGCTAGAAAACGTGAAGACAGTCACATCCCTTGTCCAACATGTGACCTTATGTTTAGTACAAGTAAAGGCTTCAAAAGGCATCTTAGAGTTTGTCAGGTGGTCAAATGTCCACAATGTGACAAGGAGTTTAAGTCTATGGAGGAGTTTGAAGGACATGTCGAGGTTCACGAGGGGGAAGATTTACATGGATATCAGTGTATTTATTGCGACATGCAATTCCTATTGACAAGTCAACTGAGGAAGCATGAGAAGACACATTATGAGTTCAAGTACAAGTACCAGTGCCAACTGTGTCCGAAGTCATACAATAGTGGTACCAGTTTACGTCAACATATACGGGAAGGACACAAGGAATCAAGGATTTGTTGCTTGGTGTGTGGGAAGTTTTGCGATTCAGAATTTGATTATAATCAACACATGAGTGGTCATCATATACATAGGAAGAAAATGAGCACATTTTCCTGTAAAAAATGTGGAAAGACTTTTGAACAGTTGTACCATCTGAAAAGGCATAATCGATACTTTCATAAAGCTATTGGAGAGCGTATTTGTAAATTATGTTTGAAGATATGTAAAGATAAAGAGGAGTACCAAGAACACATTAAAGAGCACGAATGGGATAAGCCAAACATGTGTAGTTTCTGTCGTGTACCTTTTCCTTCAAAGGAACAGCTAGAGGAACACATTCGTGACACACATGACAAAGGTGTGCGATATATGTGTGAAGTGTGTGGCTTCCAAGCTAGTTGTTCCCTTGATATGAAATATCACAAATATGAACATGACGATAGCATGCCACACATGTGTGAAGTATGTGGGAAAGGTTTCGCTTTGAAAAGTAAATTAAAAAGCCACATGATCAACCATCAAGAGGAAATGCCTTATGTCTGTGAGGTATGTGGAAAAAAGTTTAAGAGGCGATCTACACTTCGTAGCCACAGCTTCGTACACAGTGACGGGAAGAAGTGTCAATTTTGTGAGAAAGTCTTCCGTTCCATAGGAGGCTGTGACTACCATATTGTCAGGGTTCATTCTCACTTAGTCAACGTAGACAACTACAAAAGGAATCTTGTGAAATGTGAGGAATGTAATAAATTTTTCCCGTCAAAATACACTTATGATCAACATCAGATTAAACATTTAAAGGAAAAATCATGGATGTGCGATCTTTGTGGGAAAAAATTCAAAACACAAGCACAGTTAGAAAAACACAAACCTAACCATGAATTGGTAAAACCTTTTTACTGCCAGTGTTGTGAATGTGCATTTATAACTCAATCTCGACTTGACGCTCACGTTAAAACAGAAAAGCATAAAGAAAATGTAAAAAGATCTGAGGATCCTTTGGCACAAAATGTCAATGTCCAACAGGAGGGAGTTATACAACAAGGAATCTTGAACCAACATGGAGGTTTTCAACAGCAGGAAATGTTACAACAAATGGGTAACTCACCACAGCAGGGAATACAACAACCAATGATAAAGGCAAAAAAGATGAAGAAGACTGTTGCAGTTCTTCAGAAACCGAGAAGATCTGCTGCTGCTGCAGTCCCCAAAAGTGTCAATGGTAAGGAACAGTTAGTGTGGATTCATTTCTTTATTTATGTGGGGACCAATTTTTGTGGATATTTAATTTCATATTTTTTGCCAAAGTCTGCATACAAGCTGCATACAAGCTGCATACTTACAAAATCCACGAATAATAATAATGAATTCCCAGTATTCTAAATATGATTGTAAGGTGCCAGGAGGAACTTGGACTAAAAATGATTGTAAGGGGCCAGGAGGCACTTTGACTAATAATTGGTGGGTGGTTTAAATTGTCCATAAGTATTCTTGATGAATTATTTATAATAATGTTGGATTGATTGGTGGGTGGTTTAAATTGTCACAAAGTGTTCTTGATGAATTATTTATAATAATGTTGGATTAATTGGTGGGTGGTTTAAATTGTCCCAAAGTGTTCTTGATGAATTATTTATAATAATGTTGGATTAATTGGTGGGTGGTTTAAATTGTCCCAAAGTGTTCTTGATGAATTATTTATAATAATGTTGGATTAATTGGTGGGTGGTTTAAATTGTCCCAAAGTGTTCTTGATGAATTATTTATAATAATGTTGGATTAATTGGTGGGTGGTTTAAATTGTCCCAAAGTGTTCTTGATGAATTATTTATAATAATGTTGGATTTGAAAATTCTATATTGTCATGATCAGTTATTGTTTAAAAAAGTGATTTCTGATCCCAAAACACATTATTACATAGACAATAACTGTTTAGTGTCTTTAAATATCAGCTGTATTTGTACGAGGCTAAGAAACAGGTGTAATGCGAGCTTTAGCGAGCTATTACTCCTGTTTCGAGCCGAGTACAAATACAGCTGATATTTAAAGACACTAAACAGTTATTGTCTTTATCCTGCAATTAATTCTGTATATTGTTTGTGCTTTGAAAGACACAAAAACTCACATTTTTATACGACCGCAAAAATTAAAAATTTTTTGGTCGTATATTGGTATGACGTTGGCGTCGTCGTCGTCGTCGTCGTCGTCGTCGTCGTCGTCCGGCGTCGTCCGAAGACACATTGGTTTTCGCACTCTTACTTTAGTTTAAGTGAATGGATCTCCATGAAATTTCACCATAAGGTTCAATACCACGAAAGGAAGGTTGGGATTGATTTTGGGGGTTATGGTACCAACAGTTAAGGAATTAGGGGCCAAAAAGGGGCCAAAAATAAGCATTTTTGTAACTTTCAGACAATAACTTGTGTGTAAGTGTATGGATCTCTCTGACATTGTACCACAAGGTTCCATATCACAAAGGGAAGGCTGTAATTGATTTTGGGGGTAATTGCCTCAAAATTTTAGGAATTAGGGGCCAAAAAGGGGCAAAAAACAAGCATTTTTCTAGTTTCAGGACAATAACTTGTGTGTAAGTGTTTGGATATTTCTGAAATTGTACTACAAGGTTCCATATCACAAAGGGAAAGCTGGAATTGAGTTTGGGGGTAATTCCCCGAAACGTTTAGGAATTGGGGGCCAAAAAGGGGCCAAAAATAAGCATTTTTCTAGTTTCCAGACAATAACTTGTGTTCAAGTGTATGGATCTCTCTGAAATTGTACTGCAAGGTACCATACCACAAAGGGAAGGCTGGGATTGAGTTTGGGGGTGATGAATCATGAGGGGGTTCAAAAAATTTGGGGGGGGGGATTTTTTTTTTTTTTCTTTTTTCTTTTTTTCCTTTTTTTTCTTTTAAAATTTTCCATTTTAAGTTGGTTATTTCTGATTTATATTTAAAAGCAAATAATAATGATATGGTAGGAGATACACACCAAACAGGATGTGTAAATTATTATATAATAAGTATTGTGCAATAGCAAGAAATTTTCAATTGCACAGTATTGCACAATAGCAAGAAATCTTCAATTGCACAGTATTGCGCAATAGCAAGAAATCTTCAATTGCACAGTATTGCGCAATAGCAAGAAATATCCAATAGCACAATATTGCGCAATAGCAAGAAATTGTCAATTGTACAGTATTGCGCAATAGCAAGAAATATTCAATTGCACAGTATTGTGCAAAAGAAGATACTTCGTATAAATTGCTTATTTCTTGATCAATTTCAATGGGGATTTATTCTTGAATTCTTGGGGTTCTTTAATATGCTGAATCTAACCGTGTATTAAGTTTTTGGATTTTGGGCCCCGTTTTTAAATTGGTCCACATTGAGGTCCAAAGGGTCCAAAATTTAACTTTGTTTGATTTCATCAAAAATTGAATTGTTGGGGTTCTTTGATATGCCGAATCTAACCGTGTATTTAGATTTTTAATTTTGGGTCCCGTTTTTTAAATTGGTCTACATTAAGGTCCAAAGGGTCCAAAATTAAACTTAGTTTGATTTTAACAAAAATTGAATTCTTGGGGTTCTTTGATATGCTGAATCTAAACATGTGTTTAGATTTTTGATTATGGGCCCAGTTTTCAAGTTGGTCCAAGTTGGGGTCCAAAATTAAACTTTGTTTGATTTCAACAAAAATTGAATATATGGGGTTCTTTGATATGCTGAATCTAAACATGTATTTAGATTTTAGATTTTTGGCCCAGTTTACAAGTTGGTCCAAATTGGGGTCCAAAATTAAACTTTGTTTGATTTCAACAAAAATTGAATATATGGGGTTCTTTGATATGCTGAATCTTACCATGTATTTAGATTTTTTATTTGTGGGCCCGCTATCAAATTGGTTCATATTGAGGTCAAAAGGGTCCAAAATTAAACTTTGTTTGATTTCATCAAAAATTGAATTATTGGGGTTCTTTGATATGCCAAATCTAACCGTGTATTTAGATTTTAAATTTTGGGTCCTGTTTTTTAAATTGGTCTACATTGAGGTCCAAAGGGTCCAAAATTAAACTTAGTTTGATTTTAACAAAAATTGAATTTTTGGGGTTCTTTGATATGCTGAATCTAAACATGTGTTTAGATTTTTGATTATGGGACCAGTTTTCAAGTTGGTCCAAGTTGGGGTCCAAAATAAAACTTTGTTTGATTTCAACAAAAATTGAATATATGGGGTTCTTTGATATGCTGAATCTAAACATGTATTTAGATTTTAGATTTTTGGCCCAGTTTTCAAGTTGGTCCAAATTGGGGTCCAAAATTAAACTTTGTTTGATTTCAACAAAAATTGAATATATGGGGTTCTTTGATATGCTGAATCTTACCATGTATTTAGATTTTTTATTTGTGGGCCTGCTATCAAATTGGTTCATATTGAGGTCAAAAGGGTCCAAAATTAAACTTTGTTTGATTTCATCAAAAATTGAATAATTGGGGTTCTTTGATATGCCAAATCTAACCGTGTTTTTAGATTTTTAATTTTGGGTCCCGTTTTTTAAATTTGTCTACATTAAGGTCCAAAGGGTCCAAAATTAAACTTAGTTTGATTTTAACAAAAATTGAGTTCTTCAGGTACTTTGATATGCTGAATCTAAACATGTGTTTAGATTTTTGATTATGGGACCAGTTTTCAAGTTTGTCCAAGTTGGGGTCCAAAATAAAACTTTGTTTGATTTCAACAAAAATTTAATATATGGGGTTCTTTGATATGCTGAATCTAACCATGTATTTTGATTTTGGACATTGGACCATAATAGGTAAATTAAAAAAATTGAAGTTCTTAGACCACATTCTTTCTGTGTCAGAAACCTATGCTGTGTCAAATATTTAATCACAATCCAAATTCAGAGCTGTATCAAGCTTGAATGTTGTGTCCATACTTGCCCCAACTGTTCAGGGTTCGACCTCTGCGGTCGTATCAAGCTGAGCCCAGCGAAGCATTTTATTTGCATTTATTTTCGATTTAAAATCCCTTGAGGCCTGCGTAGTAATATTAAAATTACACATTCAGCTGGAGATGGGTTCGCAAAAAAAGAATCTCGAATGGTCAACAATAATACATTGCTCAACAATGCTCAAAGTGAATAATTATCTATTTTAACATAAAAACTAATTTCAACAGTAAAAACAAATAACAAAACATTGTACAATTTGAAACAGAAGTGTACGAGTTGTCCTTCTCTTCAGAATTTTGAACTGAACTTGACATTCACTTAACATGCATGCTGAAATTGACATGGTTGATTTTGTTACACATGTACACATTCAAGTTTTGAAATCGATGATTGTCGTCGTAGAAAATACTGCTGTTCATGTTTGTCTGTTATCAGAAAATTCGTTTAATTCTTATTGCTTTAAAGATATGTTTGAAAACAAACAGAACGTATAAAAGTGATCGTTAGTTCGCATAAGGTCAAACAGTACGTCATTGGAATGCGACTGCAATACACATTCTGGGGTCACGCAGGTTCATACAACACTCGTCAACAGCAATACACAAACGTAGTCCGGCAGTGGGCGGAGCTTTAAAGCGATATCTGTATAGTATACAGATACAGCATAGCGATATCTGTACGGCTGTATCTGTATAGTAAGACACCCAATTGCAGGCTAAAAGCAAATCATGTGACTATGATGTTTATTGCTACTTAATCACTCTTTGTTACATCAATTGTGGCCATGTTTTCCAATCCAATGGAGAGAGCAACTGAGCTTTGGCAGGACAATTGATAATCCTAGTCAACATGGTCAATTAAGATAGGAGTTGAAAGCACATTGCCATGAGCATGTTCTCATAATATCAGTGTTGACAGGCTAGTGTTCACTGTTCACTACTTAGACCACTTAACCTCTGAACCCCTTGAATGGGAGGAGATGAGGGGTATATGTCATTGAGACAGCAACCCAATGTAAAAAAATGTCCTAGTCAACTGAAACACACATTTTGTTTAATACTAATTTCATTGGTGCGCTTTCCCTTTGTCTTGCAGATCTATGTTCTGATTACAAGAATACATGTAGTTAATCTGTATTTTCACATGTAAATGACATTTTACATTGGTTGCATTTTCTATTATAAAAATGAATGTCATAAAAAAGAATAATGAAGTATAATGAACTAATCTAAGAATTCAAATAAAGAAGCCTATTTTGACATAACTATACAGTGTTCTGTCACTCATTGAATATTTAAGACATGTATTTGAATCCTTGGATGATTATTTGTTCTTATAAAACTTCTGGAAATATATATGAATGGTCTTTTGCAGATAATGTTGGCCAGGAATTTATAGCGATAAATAAAGATCTTGATCTTGAAACATCAGCTACGGTATATGACTATCCCGAGAAGACAATCATAATCATTGGATCAGACAACATTAGTGGAGACATGGAGTATGAAATGCAGGGCGAGATTGAGTATATCCAGGAGGGGGATAAACTTATTCCGACCATTAATGGCAGCGAGATACAGATTGTTGACGAAGGCATGCAGCCAGTTCCTGTACATATGGTCCAAAATCAAGTAAATTGTTAACTTGAAGTACTTATGACATTTCTGATCAGGTTTGCCTTATTCATTTGTCTATAGAAGTATTTATACTTTTGGATATTTAGCTTAATTTGCTTCAAATGACTATCTCTAAATAACCTTCTGGCCTCATGCAACATTCACTTTTTAATTGTGACGTCAAATATCTTAATTTGTGATGCAAAATTTTACAGCAACTTGTTCTTGTTTGACTTGAAGTAATGGCGGACAAACTTGTATACAAGTGTAAATATGTCTATTGTGAGCTTGGGCTAGTCATTTCTTTATTTTTGACATACTTTTCTTCCTGCTCTTGGTAGTAGGCAAGATCCTTTGTACAGTATTTAATTTTTTTCAATTGCCTCTGGAATTGTTGTAAAGTGCTTGTCTCTAATGAAGGAATTTGTCAATAAGATAGATCCTTGGATGGGTCAAACCACAGACTTTATAAATGCTTTTATAATTAGTAAGAATAAAAAAACTGATTTAATTATTCATGTTATTCATGTCATCAATCAATCATGTTTTATTGTCAAGAAATTATATTTATATTCATCGTGTTCCAATGACTTTCAGTCTGAGTAATACTTATACAAATCAGGTTTATTTACTGAAAGATGTAATATTAACTGGTATAAGACTAAGTAATTTTATTTAAGATTGTAGTTACTTTTTCAAGGTTTGGATAATCTCCCCTTAATATTTCCAAAAATTTACTTAAACAAATAATTTGTTTCTACAACCCTTGAAATTCTCATATTTTAGAAGGACCAAACATGCCTTTAACATTTTTTCTGGTTTGCTTAGTCTTTTCAATTAGATTTCAATCTTTTGCAATATTTAGCTTAAGAACTAAACAAAGAATCTATGCAAGGCCTTCAAAAATTTTTCCCTTGAACCTTGTAAATGAGCAGTATTTTGAAGATTACAAACAAATGAGATTTTCGTTGTCCATGAAATTATACTTTTATGAATAGTAAAGACAACTATTAATGATAGACAATTAAAAATAAATTATAGTTCTGAGTCAAAAGAAATTCAAGAATAGAAGAAAAGATGACCATTTTTACTTATATAAGTAGGGAAAAAATCTGAATGTCTAAAGGATATGTAACTCTACCTCTAAAATAATTTACCTGTAGAAGAAAAATGAATAATACTTTTTTAATTATAGCCCCTAACAGACTTTTAGAATTTAATAATGAAATGTTTTCTTTTTCTGATATTTTTTTATTTCTTGGTGAAATCCTCTTTCTTTTAACAGGAAATAACATAACACTTGATGTTTCTGTAACTTATGCCAAAGTTTATGAGACTTGTATTTTTCCCTATTGATATTTTTTTATTTGCTAGAATTTGCTACACTAGCTATGTATATACATGTTTGTATTTGTAAGAAAAAAGATGCTTGTAAGCATTATTTTTTTTTAACCTGTTGAGAACTGGATGTATATTAATGGCAATGGCATTGCCATTGTCTGTCTGTCCATTCATCAGGCCTTTGTAAGATGACTTAGTTTTTTTAACCAATATTCATGTTAATTAACATAACATTAGGATTGACAGAAGAAAACTACTTTTCCACTATGTTCTTCCAGAATTACAAGACTTTACTATTAGATTTAATGCAATTTTTCACATATCATGCACTATAACTTCATTATGCTTTACATTATTGTGGGGATTGATAAATGGAAGTTCCCTTTCATTTAATTTCATTTTCTGGTTTCTCTTTTATGTAAAATTTTCACTTGTTGTACCATACACTTGAAACTTTATGTTAGTGTTGGAATTGGTGAACATAACAAACTGTTCGATTTAAAAAAAAAAGTTCTGATATGTCATTCCAGAGTTATGGGATTTTTACTGTTAGATGTTTAAATGTCATGCATTAGCTCTCGTATGTGTAGATCAAACTCAAATTACTTCAAAATTAACACTATGGTTGGGATTGGAGAATGTAGACTTGCTCTTGAATTTAAAATTTTCAGGTTTTTCATTCCAGAGTTATGGGACTTTTAATTGTCATATTTGACCCAATATTTACAAATTTTTAAAGTATCTTCATGCCATGAAGGCATCAACAATTGTTCAGTTTTCTGCTTAAGTTAGTTTGATAAAAACTACTTGTGATAGATCATTGATATTTACAACTATTTTGAGGCCCTGCCCCCTAGGCCATGGTCCAGTGACTTTGAAATCATTATTGATTAGCAATTTTAAATATTAAGTTTTCTGCTAAGTTAGATTGATAGGATCTACTTGTGATATATCAATGATATTTTGTATGAAGTTGCATTACTATCAGTACATATCAGTTTGAAGACTATTTGGAGGCTGTGCCCCCAAGGCCATGGTCCAGTAACTTTGAATTAATTAGCAATTTTAAATGTTAAGTTTTCGGCTCAAGTTAGATTGATAGGAACTACTGGTGATAGATCAATGATATTTTGTGTGAAGTTGCATTGCTATCAGTATATATTAGTTTGACAACTATTTTGAGGCCCTGCCCCCTAGGCTATGGTTCAGTGACTTTTAATTAATTACCAATTTTCAATGATAAGTTTTCTGCTTAAGTTAGTTTGATAGGAACTACTTACAATAGACAATATTTTCTACAAAGTTACATTGCTGTCTGTACATCTCAGTTTGTCAACCACTTTGAGACCCTACCCACTAGTTGGCCCAGTGACTTTGAATTAATTAGCAATGTTGCTGTCCATCAGATTGTCTTTTTCTGAATTTTATGCCAACAGGCGAGACATATCTCTGTGTCAACCGTTTATATTTGCTTCTGATTAAATGCCATCTAAATATCCTATTTTATTTGTGCAACAACTTTGATATGAACAATAAGGTGGTATCATGTGCTCTTTGCACAGCTGCTTATTTTTATTGTAACAGAATGTCTATGCAATATATTGTCAAAATTGTGAAAAAGTAAAATTGTTTAAAAAGATACAGAGTAGATTTTTTTATACAACAAATAGTGCAATATTAAGATTTTTTTACACATTTAGTGATTTTTGTTTTTATGTTATTCAATAAGTTTAAGCTTTCCAGAAAAGCTTATCTTACCCTGACATTTTCTCATCATTATTAACTGATGTAACCTGTATGTGTGTGGAAACATTTTTGAATGCATCTTCTTCATAGAATTGTAGTTAGTTACATAAAGTGTCTTAGTGCTGAACTCTTTAATTAGCCATATTAGTATACAATAAAAGTTTTAAAAAAAACTTGTGTTCTTTTTTCTGCATTGAGATTCTGTACTCTAGGCTTTTCTCAAGATTTTGTCTCACTTGACTTTTTCACTGGGTTTTCAGAAGGAAAGGACCAGTTATTAAATTTGTGAAGTATGGTGGGCGGCTGCCAACAGTTTCCGTGCAATAACTTTTGAACTGTTCAACCAATGCTTTTAAAATGGAGGTCAAATTGATGATTTTCACTTTTACCATTTAGGAGTTATGGTCTTTGATATATTGGAAAATGGCACTTTATGTCGTTTATGTTCAATAACTTATGAACCCTTCTACTGATGAGTTTTTAAATCATAATATAATTTTACTCATGACAAAATGGTTGTCAAATTTGATATTAAAGATTTTCATTTTTGTCATTCAGGAGTTATGGTCCTTGATAGATTGGAAAATAGGCATAGAATGTGGCAGGTAAAAAAATCATGAAAGCGCCTTTCAAAAAACTGAAAACCCAGTTTGTTGTCAATTTGACATCTCATTCCTTGTTTTTGTGGTACATTGCTGTATGAAATCTACTCAGAAATATGTCTATGCATATATATATATTCCAATGTTGGACAGCATGCTTTGATATGAGCAGGTTAAGTACTGTGAGCTTGCTTTCAGTATGTGTGTGCATTTGTTAATATTAAATTGTTTATTATCTTGTATACACCAATTGTCATGATTGTTATTCCGCTGCTCAAGATTTGAACTTTAACTCTAAACCATTTTCATGTACTGGTAACTGGTATAAGAATGTGCCTGTCCAAAGTAAGCAAAGTCGTCATTGGTTTAAGTAGTAATCCATAGAAAAAGTATAAGAATCATGCAGAAGTTGTGTTCCTGAACGGTTTCAAATGTGCATTCAGTTGCAATATAGGTGTAGTTGAAAGGAACGAGTAAAATGTTCCATTTACTGCCTTACTAGAGAGTTATCTCCCTCAACATTTTCACATTTTGCATGATTCTTTTAAGTGGACTGTTGCTTATATTGATTTTTTGTCATTTTAGGGAATTTAATGTTGATAGCAGATCTTTGATAGTCTTTTTAAAATCATTTACATCAGGGCTTGTTTGACATTTTATTTACATCAGGGCTTGTTTGGCATTTTATTTACATCAGGGCTTGTTTGACATTTTATTTACATCAGGGCTTGTTTGACATTTTATTTACATCAGGGCTTGTTTGACATTTTATTTACATCAGGGCTTGTTTGACATTTTATTTACATCAGGGCTTGTTTGACATTTTATTTACATCAGGGCTTGTATGGCATTTTATTTAGACATGATAGACATTTCTCTATTGTTGGAGGTCACATAACTTTTGTTTTTTGTGTGTCAGATTGCAGTTTCATTGATGTATACCCTGTATTCTTATATAGGTTCTACAGATCAAGACCACTATATGGAAACAAATGGTTTTGTTGTTATGTTATCTTATGAATGCTACTCCTCTGAGAGGTTTCTTACTTATTGTCTTTGATCATTTTGTGGCCTTTTGTAACAAAACCTTGAGAACACTCATCACACCTCTGCTTCCATACAACACATCAATTATGAGTGACTATTTTTTTGTAGATATGGTGTGACTTTTAAAATGTTACTTATTGGTAGAACAGGAAATCCAAACGTAGACCTTTTAATTATGAATAAAAGTATATATATATATGGGATCTAAATCAATGAGACAGCAAAGGATATTTTAAAAGAGGGCAATATACAGTCTTCAACGATAGGCAGGTGTCTATACGATATGTCAACCTCTATAACAATCTGAATCTGTAAAAGTCTCCAATGACCATGTGCACATTTTCATTTAAATTGCTAAAAAACATACAAATGCACCAGGTGAACTATAGAATTCAAGAATTTCTTTGTTTCTGCTTAGCAGACAGACTGTAACAGTAAGAGCCAGGTTCAGATCCAGGATTTTGAAAAGGAGCCAAGGTTTGAAGTGATACTTGTAAAAAATCTATGCATTTATCATATATGAAGCTCCCTGGCAACTCTAAATAAATGGAATTTCTAATGCCCCATTGAACAATCGAATGTTTTCCCCCCTAAATTGACATCAAACAATTCATTCGTAAAACACATTAGTATCCATTTAAAATGCTGAGAAACAGGTCATTTTCAAAGGTAACTCTGAGTCTGAGTTAAAAAGTTGTCTGCCATTCAACTGACGTTGTAATTTATAGAAAAGGGTTATACATATCAGTATTCCAGTGTTGTATGGTAAATTGAGCTTGTCAAGTGACTTTTAACCCACAGTTATGACTGTTTTGCAAAATTGCAATAGCTTTTTCTAAAAAAAAACTTTGCTACCATTATTTTATAGGAAAAATTGGAGATGTGGTATGATTGCCAATGAGACAACTATCCACCAAAGATCAAATGAAGTGAATGTAAGCAATCATAGGCAACCGTACGGCCTTCAACAATGAGGAAAACCCATACAGTTGGCTATATAAAAGGTACCGACATGAAAAATATGATAATTCAATTGAGAAAACTAACGGCCTTGTTTATAACAAAACAATTTACGAAAAAACAAGTATGACGAAACATGAAGCAACGACAACCACTGAACAAGACCCTCCTGACTTAGGATAGGCACATAAAGAATGTGGCATGGTTAAACATGACCGGATATAGCAGGGTATTTATACATTCCTAAAAAATAAAAAAGACAAAGTACAGATCTGAGAGTATCTGCAGTTACTGATCAACAGCTAGTTCAAAGCCAATAGCAACTAATAAAAAATCATGTATCGAAGACTTAAATATCAATCAGTACACATCCAACATCCAATGGATTTAATGTAAAGACATCATTATTAAACAGTCAGAGAAAAACAAGACCTAGTGAAATGCCAAGATATATAGGTATCAACAGATTGTAGTACTGTGATAGTGCATATATGCAATATTTCCTGAAATTGCTATAGTAAACTTGTCCTACATTTTTATGCCCCTGCCGTAGCGGTGGGGGCATTAAGTTTTACCCTTGTCCCTCTGAACGTCTGTACGAACGTACGTACATCCCAAAATTGGTTTCCGTTCTCTAACTTGAGTTTGCCTCAACCAAATGTTATGAAACTTATACACAATGCTTATTACCACAAAACACAGATCAAGTTTGAATTTTGGTGGCTTCAATTTAAATGTTCTAGAGTTATATGCCCCTTTATAAATGGAAAAATTGATAAATTCTTAGTTTCGGTTCTCTAACTTAAGTTTGCCTCAACCAAATGTTATGAAACTTATACACAATGCTTATTACCACAAAACACATGTCAAGTTTGAATTTTGGTGGCGTCACTTTAACCGTTCTAGAGTTATGCCCCTTTATAAATGGAAAAATTGCAAAATTTTTATTTTTTCCTAAATATCAAGTAATTTTTAAAATTGGAGTTATCTTCCTTTGTCCATGATTATAGTTGAATCAACTACAATCAATGCTTTATACAATGCAATGTTTAATTCTGACTTCCACTGATAAAACACAGACCAAGTTGAATTTGGGTAGTGTCACTTTAACCATTATTGATTTATGCCCTTTATAAATTGAAAGATTGCAAAATTTTTAGTTTCCATTCTGTAACTTAAGTTTGCCCCAACCAAACATTATGAAACCTATACACAATATTCATTACCACAAAACTAAGATCAAGTACAAATTTTTTGTTTCCGTTTTCTAACTTTAGTTTGGCTCAACCAAATGTTATGAAACTTATACACAATGCTTATTACTACATAATACAGATTTAGTACGAAATTTGGTGGCGACACTTTTACCATTCTTGAGTTATGTCCCTTTATAAACATAACAATTGCTGAATTTTTCGTTTCAGTTCTCTAACTTTGACTCAACCAAATGTTATAAAACTTATACACAACCGTTCTAGAGTTATGCGTGTTTACAAATAGAAAAATTGCTGAATTTTTAGTTTCTGTTCTCTACTTAAGTTAGCCTCAACCAAATATTATGAGACTTACACACAATGCTTATTACCACAAAACTAAGATTAAGTTCAAATTTGGGTAGCGTCACTTATACTGTTCTTCAGTTATGTCCCTTTATAACTATATGATATACATCATCTGTGTCCACATGTGGACACTACCCACATTTATTTTCCTATTGTTCAACAAATCACAACAATAAATGCAAGTAGTTAAATCTGAATTTACAGTATACAAGGCATAGAAATTCCACAAATACCAAGTTATAAAAGATAAGAAGATGTGGTATAATTGCCATTGAGACAACTCTCCACAAGAGACTAAGATGTAAAATTGTGTCCTGCCTTTTTTTTAATTTGTAATCTCTGTCCTGCCTTTTTATTTTTCACTCTATTCGGTCCTGCCTTTTTTTTTTTAAAGTTTATCCTGACTTTTTTTACCTAAATTGTCATCCTGACTTTTTTTTTTTTGCAAGTGTCTCATCCTGCCTTTTTTTTACTCAAAACTCCTGTCCTGCCTATTTTTTTCAAATTTCATCCTAGCCCCCCATAAAAATCTAATGGTAGCTCCCTAACTTCAATAAGGAGCTACAGACTATTTCCATCATGTTGGCTTTTTAAAGTTTCTATCTATCTACTATAGATTTTCGTGATATTATAAGGCAAAAACACAAAAAAAATGGTTGGTAGGCAGGGTCATCGGACACATTTTTTAAACAGTATACCCCAATTATGATTGTGGCTTAGTTTGGTCATTTTGGCCCAGTTGTTTCAGAAGAAAAGATATTGGGCAAAAACACAAAAAATTGTTAAAAATCATCATTAATGGGCAATAACTCCAATAAGGAGTGATCTGAAGATTTCGGCCATGTTTGACTTATTGGATGATCTTGTCTTGCTGATCATTTTTGTCTCGCCTTGACGGAGTCAAAAAGCGAGACATAGGTATGCTGTTTCCGGCGACGGCGACGACGGCGTCAACAATGTATTAGTTTGTGATTAGGTCTAGATCATGGTGATCCACTAGTG